GTGTGTGGTATATGTATGACATGTGTGTGTAGTATGTGTGTGGTGTGTGGTGTATGTGGTATGTGTGTGTAGTATGTGTATGTGTGTGTATAGTATGTCTGTAGTATGTTTGTGGTGTGTATGTGGAATGTGTGGTGTGTGTGTGTATGGTATGTATGTGTACTATGTGTGTGGTATCTGTGTGATATGTGTGTGGTATGTTTAGTGTGTATGTGTGGTATATGTGTCTGTGTGTAGTATGTGCGTTATGTGTGCCTGTCTGTCTGTATTTCTTGACCTAGAGGAGGTGAGTGGTCTTCCTCCACCACATATTCTTTGTGACGCACATGCAATCCTCTCGCCAGCAAGAACGCACGTGGACACCACACTAGGATCCTTCCACAGCAAACGTTTATTCCAAAAGAAAATGGAGGAAGACCCCAGGCCCGGAAAAGGCACTGCTTATATACCCTTAGAGCGGTGTGTTCACCTCTGATTGGCTGCTTACTCATTGCCCGCCAAAACGCCCTGGGATGGGCTTTGACTTTGGCGCGCTTTTACCATAGCACATGCGCAGTTTACTTGTTTACTTGGAGGAGCACCGGATGCCAGCGCCATCTTGTAATGGCGGATTCTGCCAGCACAAGCCGCGGCTTCCTACAATTCTTACCATGACTGTATCCACCACAGGCCCAAAGCAACAGGGTCAAGCCATCAGAGTCAATCCTCTGAGATGTAGCACAAACATGAACCATTCTGCCTTCTCAGCTGATAATCTCAGGTATTCTGTCACGGCCACAGAAATCCAATCCACCCAGGGTGTTACGGGACAGGCCTTGTATGGTTTCTGTGTGATCTGGGAACACGGGCATGTATTTCTACAGATTCCTAGGCTTGTCAGCTCTGCCCCTGGCCACCTTCCTAGTAAAGCATCTTCCTCTCATCTGCATTGCAGCTGTCTCCCTGTTTCTACAGCTGAGCCTACATTTTCTTTTCTTCCAAGGCCATTAGTAGGAAACATCCCACAGGTTGAGCTTTTGGTGTCACGACTGTTTATTGTCTGAGTTTGTGTCCTATGAGTTTGTGTCCCTGTACAGCAGCCTGAACTGGTGGCACCTGGCATTTCCTTTGTCTAAACAAAAGTCAGAGAAACACGTTTGTTCCCTGTAACCGTACCTCTCATAGGCTCTTGCCTGTTCTCTTCTATCTATCGGGAAAGATTTCAAGCCCCACTGTCTTAGTTATTGTGACTTGTATACAGCACGAAGAAGTTGGTGCTGACTGGGGCTGCCAACGCAGCAGAATTAAGCTTTCCACTGCGCCCTCTCAGGGAACACAGTAGGGCTATTCCATTTCCCCACGATGTTTAAAACTTGATGTTGCACCTATCTATGAGAATGTCACCGCTCCACCCTCCCCGGCTAGGCAGACCCGTTTGAAATCTGCACAGCGCAGCTGACTTAATTTCTGATGGAAGAAGTCCATGAAGTTCCGCTGCCTCTAGGCCCGGAAAGTGATCAGCCAGTCAAATGATCTGTTCAGTACCGTGCCATATGTGTCGGGGGAGGGGAGGATGGGAACTGCCTCCCCCATCCTTGATTTCTGCCCTCAGTATATCCTGGTGTCCCCTGAGGGACCATGGCCTGTGCGTGTTCAATGCATGGCTTGACGGGGATGTGTACTGTTCTGCATGTCACAAGGCAAACAAAGAAAGCTTGAGAAGGATGGAGTGACAAGATAATCAGGACTTGGTGGCAGCAGGGTGTGTGCAGCCCCTGTGCATGTAGCTTGTTTGCTAATTGCCAACACCAGATTTTCTGGGCAATTAGATGTTTGATATCTTCCAAGACCTTCTGTGCAAATGCGGACACATGGCCTCAGGCCTTCAAGGTAGCAGGTGGAGAGAGGGTAGCTCCTGGGTGGATGGCAACTTGCCTGAGGTTGCCCAGGGGCTTTGTATGGGATGCAACCATCCTCATTCCAGGGGAAGGGTTGCCTGGCTGGGCCCCAGTGTGGAGGCACAGAGTCCTCCGGCTTTTATAAAAAAGAGTTTCCCTGTGCTTGGAACTGAGCAAAGCTGGGGCTGTTCTGTGGGCTAGCTGAGAAGCCAAGTTTACCTCACTTTCTTTTCAAGAGCAGCGAGACATGGGTACTAGGAACAGGAAAGATTGTCCTCTGATAAACAAGGTAAGTTTTGTTGTTAGACAAGGCCTTAGGTAGCCCAGGCTGCCCTTAAACTCCCTATATAATCTGAGGATGACTTTGAACATGTGATCCTCCTGCCTCCACTTTCACAGTGCTGGGATTACAGGTGTGGGTCACTCTGTGGTGCTGGGGGGTCAATCCCAGGGCTTTGTGCATGCTAGGCAACCACTCCTCTAGCTGAGTTACATGGGTGCTTAATAATATTTTTATTATGGCAGAGTATACGGAACACAGAGCTTCCCGCTGAAACAATTTTATATTTAATGCACAATTAGTGAGCAGCATGGATTATGTTAACAACAGTGTGCCTGCCACAAGCATTGATATTTCCAAATCTCTTCATTGTCCCAGTCAGGAGCTCTGCAATTCTGAAGCAATAAGTCCTGGTCAACTTTCACCTACTTTCTGTCCTTTTGGATTTTCTTTTTTGGGATAGTTCATGCAAGCAAAGTTATATAGTATTTCATGTCTGTCTTATTTCCATGTTTCCTGTCTCACTGGTGTCACGGTGTGTGTAGGAATGTTGTCAGCTTTGCACGTGGTTGCTCTGTTCCCAATACTATCTGCCGTGTTGGTGAACTGCAGTACTCTTCCTCTATGGATGGACACACGGGTGTGTTTCCAGTCTTGGTTATTGTGAATGCTGCTGCAGTGAGTGTTCACATACAAGTCTTTCTGTGAGTCCTTTTCCAAGTCTCTACTAGGTTGCTGGATCCCGTAGTTATTCTACATATGACATTTCGAGGAGGAACAGCCAAACTGGTTTCACAGCAGGGGGCTCATTTGCATCTCACCAGCAAGGCACCAGACTTCCAATTTCTGTACTTGTTTTTCTTTCCTTTTAAAAATTATAGTCATCCTTGTGGATGTGAAGTAGCATTTCACTGTAATTTTTGGTAGACCAGTTGGCTTCAAACTCAGAGATTCACTTGTCTCTGCCTCCCAGGTGCTCGGATTAATGTTGTGCAACGCCACACCCTGATGTCATAATTTTGATCTGCATTTCTCTGGTGGCTAATGAAGCTGACCATATTCTCCTAAACTCACAGAGCCTTCTAGGAAAGAGAAAGGCCAGGAGCCCGGATAGAAAGTGACTTGCTGATAGGAGACTTCACATTCTTTCATTTGTGACCCATTCCACTCCACAGCCTGCTCGGGAGCCACTGGAATGATGCTGTTTGAATTCCTACCGAGTATAAAAAAGCAATTCTGCAAGAGGCTGGGATTAACACAAAGCGATTTAGCAGATGGAACTATTTCTCATGCTCCCGCAGTGAGGAGAGCCTTTCCCAAATAGAGCCAACCCATCTACCACCTACATGGAATTAAGCTGTGCGCTAAACTAGCAGGGTTTCCAGAGCAGTGCCTGGCCCCTGGTTCTGGTGGGCATGCAGCATCTGCCTGTTGTCTCCCTGGTTGGCTGACAGTTTCTGTTAGCAAGTCTTTGCTTGGTTGCTTTGGGGTCCTGCCAGCCCTGGGCAGTGGGCACTGGGGGCACTGTGGAGCTTTCGAGCATGGATCGGGGACAGTATGTCTTGTCCTTGGGGATCCAGAGCAAATGTCTGTACTTGAATTGCTGCAACAAGGCAAGGACCAGGACAACAAGACATTTATGCTACTTTGCCATTGTCCTTCTGTTTGACTTAGTGTCCCTTATAGGGATCCATCCCAGGGCCAGGGCAGCTAGCCTAGCTACCTTTTGACTGCTACTTTTTCCCTCCTGAATGTCAGAAACCTCCAGCATCCCTGAAGATGTGAGTTCACTGCTCTCTGGAGGGCCTTGTGCTATGGAAGGGGCAGGTTATGCACCAGTCAGTCATCGAGTGCTGTCCCTGGGAATTGCTCTCATGTCCCATATTTTATGGACAAGAATTGTTAGGCCTGGGCTAGGGTGTGTCCTCTACACCTTTGGTAACCTTCGGGCTGTAGCTGCCCTTCCAGAATACCTGAGGACTGGTCTATCTTCTCCATTGCAATAATTTCCTCCATGGGGAGACATAAGCAATCTCTCTGTCATGAAGTTCCAGTGACATGATTCCTCTAAAGGTCAGACTGGGGAACCAATGAGATTATTAGGCACACAGAACATGTGAGAGGGGGTTGCTTACAGGAACATGGGTGACCATGAAGCAGCCACACTAGAAAATCCACACCCAGCATGGGATGATGGCTTCTCCATGGCCACACAAGAGGAGCCACTTCTATATTATTCCTCAACCTGTCTACTCCAGTGCTTCCCCAGTCTCCAAGGCTACTGCAATTAGGGCAGAATTGTATGCAATACTGGGAGGAAAGACTGGAGTCTCAGGTGAGGGTCCTGTGACCCCCCAATCCCTTGCTCTATGAGGGACTGTAGACCCATTGGGGTGGGCTCCTGCAAGCTGCCACAGCTGCTCTGACAAAGATAAATGCTTTGCTCAGAGGACCCGTTCTCCTGCACATGACTCCGGTTTCGCTGGTCCACTGTGGAGTCTGCATTACAGAGCATTCGGCCAGACCTGAGCCCCTCTGGGAACAGAGCAGTGTCTCCTGCTTAATGCGGGTAGAAGTGAGGTTGGCGGTGACAGGCCTGGTGGTCTCTTAGAGAAAAGGGGTAGGGACATCCAGTTGTTCAAGTTCTAAAGGACAAGCACAAGGGTTTCTGGGCTGGGCAGGAACATCTTGCCTTCCTGGCTGGGAACTGCCCTGTAAAAGTCTGGTAGCAGACTTTTTAGAACCCCATGTGTGTAGGAACAAAGCCACACTGGCCTCTTTTCTGCTCCCTGGGCTGTCCTGCATCACTTTTAAGAAGCTAATTTTTTTGTCTTTCCTTTTAGAAACGGCCCCCACATCTGCATATTCCTCTCCAGCACGGAGTCTCGGGGACACAGGAATAACACCTCTGTCCCCTTCCCATATCTTGGTAAGAAATGTGCGTGAGTGTTGTGAATGTGTATGTGTGTGTGTGTGAGTGTAAGTGTATGTGTGTGAGTGTGTGTTGCATGTGTGTGTGCAAGTATGCGTGAGTATGTGAGTGCATGTGTGAGTGTGTTTGTGTGTGAGTATGTATGTTTGTGTATGTGCATGTGTGTGTGCGAGTGTGTGTGTTGCATGTGTCAGCTGCCTTTGCTAGGCAGCCCCTCACATTCCCCTGTTGTGTACACATGGATGTGGTGGAAGCAAATGCATTCTGCCAAGCCTGCTTCCTATCCTGGGCCTGGAAAAGCTTTCTGAGGTGTGCCTGATGTTTGCAGAGGCACCAGCCTGGAGAGTAGTGTGAGCAGACATGGGGGTCTGCTCTTGAGAGCCTAGAGTGGTGGCAGGGGTTCTACAGTAGTGGGAAGGCAATGTCTGCACAAGGAGATACTTGTCTGGGCTTCTGCCCTGTAGTAGCCTTTTCATAGTTAGTCAGTATGCTCATCTGATGAAGGGAGACATCTGCAGGGGGCACCCTCAGCCAGTCAGAGTTGTATACATTTCTCTTTGAGCCTCTCCCTCTCCAGTGGGAGCTGGGGCTGACCTGCTTGAGCTGGGTGGTCTGCCTGCAGTGAATGCCAAACTGGGCAGGGTGGAGGTTTTCTCCTGAAGAGAGGCCTGGCCCTCACCCTCCCATGCCTCCCCACGCACTTGCAGAATGATGCTAACCCCGTCTCCGAGCAGCAGACCTTTCTCGTGGTGGTGGCCATCGACTTTGGGACCACATCCAGTGGCTATGCCTACAGCTTTACCAAGGAGCCAGAATGTATCCATGTGATGCGGTGAGTGTGGCAGGGAGAGGAGCACCAGGGGGAGAAGCACCGGGGGAGGAGCACCAGAGGGAAGAACACCAGGGGGAGGAGCACCAGGAGGAGGAGCACCAGGGGAAGGAGCACCAGGGGGAGGGGCACCAGGGGGAGGGCCACCAGGGGGAGGGGCACCAGGGGGAGGGGCACCAGGTGGCCTGGGCACCACACTTGTGTGGACTTTCAGGTAGGCTAGTCACCCGTCTGCAGGAGAGCACTCTGATTCAGATCTGGACTCTGTGCTACTTACCAAGGTCCAGACTACAAATTCTCATCTGTCAACCCATCGAGTTAATTCTTACAGTTTAGGGAAGGGCTGTGCAGTACAATTCACTCCCAGCTAGGGTAATTCCAGGGTTTGACCTGGGTGAGCGGAGCCAGGATGTCCCTATATAGTATCTGTGATAGAAATGATTCAAAGGCTAGCCACTTTCTATGTGACATCAGGCAATTATTGAACCTGCTATACCTCTGTTTCCTCATTCCAGAGATGAAGATAAAGGCGGAGTCTGCCTCACGAGTTCTTTTTGCAAATTTAATGAGATTTTCTATGGAGTAAATTAGCATACAGGAAGGAGCCAGCTCCTCCCTGTGCAGAAAACACCCACCCCCTAGGGAAGCAGAGAAGGGTGGACCTCAGCCTGGTGACCCTGAAGACAGAATGCCCTGGGGAATCCTTAATGCACACAAGCAGTCCAGCCCTCACTTAGACCGCTGTCCTTGGGGTCCAGTGGGACAATGTCCTTGGGGATTCAGTGATCGATCTCAGAGCGAGACATTAGTATTTGTCTAAAGTCACTGAAAAAAAGTGACTCACAGCAAGCCAGAGGCACTTAGCCTATGGGGGAACCTGTAATCTGACTGTGAGTCTGGCCACAGACAATGCCACAGCTATCTTAGTGGAAGTCCCTCAAAGGGGAGGTGCACATCTACCCTGTGAGGGCCTCTTGATGCTGGACACGGTGATGCTCAGAACAGGTTGGAACTCAGCCTGGGTGGCAGCTACTCCCTCCCGTACTGGACTGGGCCCATGTCTGGCACTAAGGCTGCACCTAAGTCTAGGCTTGGCAGGGAAGGGAAGAGTGTGGCCTCTTGGCAGCTCTTACTTCTGGAGGGCAGGAACCCCAAGGAGAAAAGAAACGTGAGCAACCTGCCCTTCCCACCCCATCTCCCTAGCGTTTCTTTTTCCTTCTGTCCAGGAGAAGGAAACGTCTCTGGGGTTGGGACAAGCCCAGTCCTGCCCCATCGCATGTCTTTGTCTGTCCATCTGCTTCCTCCTCTGCCCTATGTGTCTCCTCCTCAGGATGATCCCTGTCTTGTCACCATGGCTGACACTGATTTACGGAAGCTGCCTGGGGCCCCTCCTTCAGTTACATGCATGTGTTCTTTCTTCTGGGTGCTCCCTACCTGTTCTCCCTCCTCCCCAGCACCCCAGGTCACTATCTGAGCTCCCCCTTCCTGGGTTCCCTGGGCTCACCACCATCACCATAGCCATTAGCTGTCTTTGCCACTGGTCTTGTTTGGCTTTCTCTTCTCTCTTCCTAAGTCTCTCTCAGCTCTGCCCCAGGCTACCCCTGACCTCTACACCTGCCTTGTGCTCGGCAGTAGCATCCCTGATCCGCTGTTAGACTTGCACCTGTTCCTGTTATTCACAGATCTCTCCAGACTGGTGGTTCCACCGCTGTCCCAGCCCATCCCTCACTCTTCTCGTGTGCACAGGTTTTGCCTGACCAATTCCATCACTTAACCACCTGGGCCAGTTCACCTAGAGCAGCCTAAGGTGACCTTCCTTCTGAGATCTAATTGCTCTCTCCCGAGTCCTCTCTCTTGGGGCCCACCAGCTGTTGTTTCTGCCTCCCCTGGTCCCTCAGATCATGTCCCTTGGCTCCCTCTTTCCATCCAGTCAGGCATTATCGCGATGCACTTGTTCGTACCAGTCTTATTCAGAAGAGGAATCAGGCTAGCTCTGTATTCATATCAACTGCTGAGTGCTTGCAAATGAGAAACAAAACAATAAATGACCTACTAGGTTTTGGCTTATTGGAAGGTTGAAACACGATAAACACGGTGCCCGTATGTCACCAGCATGTGGCACACAGAAGCCGCTCAGTAAACACTTAGTGGAAGGTAAATGCAAAACTTGTCTCGAGTAAGAACCTGGTTCTTGTCTCTTCTCCTTCTGAGGTGTGTCTGGATGTTAACCAGTTGATACAGAGTGAGTCCGAGCACTCATATCAGTGACAGACATGCACACAGTAGGTACTCAGCTCCTCTGTGCTGACTAGACTGGGATTTTTCAAAGACCCATAACTTCTGCTTTTCCTTGGTGACAGGAGATGGGAAGGAGGTGACCCTGGTGTTTCCAACCAGAAGACCCCGACCACCATCTTGCTGACACCAGAGAGGAAGTTCCACAGCTTTGGGTATGCTGCCAGGGACTTCTACCATGACCTGGACCCCAATGAGGCCAAGCAATGGCTATACTTGGAGAAGTTCAAGATGAAACTACATACCACGGGGGTAAGTTGACCTCTTTAGGGGAGCAAGGGACCTCAGTGTGTGTGTCAGGGGTCTTCAACTTGAGTCCCCAGGTTTCTCCTAAACAGAAATCAATGGCTATCTAACTTAGGTCTTGGAATAGCCTGGAACTCACAGCTCCTTGTTTCCATTTGTGGGCTCACAATACTTTCTACTGTGGGAAAGGGGAGGAGTTGTTGGGGGTACTTAATTGTTTGTTTTGTTTAGGAAACTAACAGGCGACAGAGCATCCCAGCTGTGACATGGGTGTAGGGTGTTGCCTCCTTGCTGCCCAAGGGGCTGTTGGGAGATCAGGGGCTGTCCTATCCACCGAGACCAACTCGTGGCTAAAGACCCAAGCAGGGGAGATGGATCAGGGCTGAGGCTATTAACTGATCAGTTTGGAAGTAATAATCAGTGTAAAAATTTCTTTTATTTGCCAGATATAATTGTTGTCTCAGAGGCTTCTGAACTCTGGCTGGCTGGTTCAGCTCAGCCTGTTCTGGGCCAGATCCTTCTCCAAGCATTCTCTAAGCTTTTGACTGAATTTCTCACCTGCAATCTGTCTCTGTAAAACTGCTTGTACTCTCTCCCTTCCTCCCTTATTTCCCTCCCTCCCTCCCTCCCTCTCTCTCTCTCTCTCTCTCTCTCTCCCTCTCTCCATCCCCCCTCTCTCTCCCTCCCCCTCCCTCCTTCTCCCTCTCTCTTCATTGTTCTCTAAAGTTGCCTCTCTTTCTTGTCTGTTCTTGTGAGAGTTGGGCATATTCTCTCTGACTACTCTGTCAAATCTTTCTCTGATTTATCACTTTGTCTGCCCCTCAATTAGATGTCACTTTCAAACATAGCTGCTTCCTTCTACAAACTAACTTTACCTTTCACTGTTTGAGATTAAAGGTGTGTACTAATGTCATGTCTGTGTTCCAGCCACAGGGATTAAAGCTGTGTCATTCCAGCCAGATCACACAGACCTAGAAAGTCTTTGGATGTGATCCCTTGTCAGAGCAGCCATGTTGCTGGATTAAAATTCCTCTACAAACCAGTAATAACAGACAGGCCTATCTCTCTCTCTCTCTCTCTCTCTCTCTCTCTCTCTCTCTCTCTCTCTCTGTGTGTGTGTGTGTGTGTGTGTGTGTGTGTATCAAGAAGCTAAGTTCAAGTGATAGTCATTAGAGGGCTGAATGCCAGACCAATGACCTCACTTCTAAAACCCTGAGCAAACCAGTGTTCTGTGAGCTTCCCAGGTCAAACAGGCATCCCCATCCCAAAGCTTCATGGGAAATATGGAAACTGGATGAAGACCTTAGACTCTGGCCACATGCCTTGGATTTCAGTTCCACCCCGATTCCTCCAAGACACTTAGTCCAAGCCACATGACCTTGCTAGACCTCACTGTGCTTCCTTTTTTAAAAATTATTTGCATAATTTTAATTGACTCTTCATGAATTTCACATCATGAACCCCCAAATCCCATTCATTTCCAAGTCCTTCCATATCTGCTCTCCACCCTTGTAGCCTCCTCCCCTACCTCCCCCCTAAAAATTCCCATCTTGCCGTGGAACCTGTGGTATGTCACAGTGTGTCAAACAGTACACTCTTTTGCTCAGATAACTTTACATGCAGATGTTCATTGCAATGAGTCATTGGTCTGATCTGAGGCCTCTGGCTTCTGCTACACATCAATCCTGGATTCTCATGGGGACTCTTCTTAGATATCCTGTTGTCCTGTGTCATGGAGATCCTGCAGCTTTGGATCTGCAGAACCAGCCCCTTCATATTCTCTAGCAGTTCAAAAATTAGGTAGATGTTGGGGTGAGCCAGCTCAAAGGCCTAGATCTGGGCCTGGGTGGTAGCTGAGTTGGTTAGATTGCCAGCTCTCCCATGCCACACCACCAGGGCCAGCTCGTGCTCCATTTTAAAATGGAGGCCGTTACAACATTGTGTTCACAGAGAGCGTAAGGATCAAAGTGATGTAAATACATGATGTTCCCAGAGGAAGGAAAGTTCTAGTCAAATGGTAGCTTCCATTAGTGTTTGAGGAGACAGCACAGAGCTAGCAGGAAAACCACCACTGGCACCTCGCCCTCCAGGGTTCTAGGCTTACATGAGGTTTCATTTCTCCTGGCTGAAAAGGACTCATGCATTTTTCCAGATGGGACCCAATGCTGATTGTCAGGATAGGGCAATGGAGATACAGAGCTAACTGTAGCTTCTCGGGACTCAGCTGCCTCCCCGAGCCTGAGTGTCTAGAAGCTGTGCACCTTTGCTGGGCACCAGGAGAGCGGGGCACTGGCTGGGAGCAGTGAGCATGAGCAGATGGTTCAGGATATAACCATAGGTTCCACACAGACCCATTAGTAACTCATGGCCCTGCCTCAAAATTAAAGGCAAAGCCTGGCTGTCTAGACTACATCAATCTGATTAATTTGTTCCTCACACTGATAAGTCCAGGGGCTCCCTTCCACGCCCACCCATCGTCCCTCCCTCCCCTGGGGACCCTGCTCATCATGTTTTTGATGACCTCTTTTCACCCACCATCTGGCCTCTGCACAGAAACCTCTATCAGAGGACCATGCACAGCAGCTGCTTTGGCTTCTGGCAGAGCCAGAGAGGCAGCAATGCCTGCCTGACTTTCGGCAGATTAGACAGAACTGGCCTTAAAATAGGAACTCTTCTATTTTAGTGACTTGGCTGGCAGCTTGCCGGGGAAGGAGAGGTTGCCGTGTGTTAGCATCCCGCTTGGCAGTGAAGTGGCATGATTTAAGCTACTGTCACAGAGCTCCCAAGGGTGGCCCATGTCTGGAAGTTACATGTAAATTGCACCAGGCTTAGCACCTGCTTTCCATTCCCAGGACTTGCTACTGGCCAGAGGCTCCCGGGGATCCAAGAAAGGGAGAGAAGGGAGGGAAGGCAAGAGGACACAGCTCTGGGGTCTGGAGAGAACCCCCAGAGCTTTAGTAGAGTAAGGAGACATCACTGCCTGGTCCTTTGGGTGGGGGGAGTACACCATTATCTCTGTCTCCCTAAACATAGGGAAGCAGGATTCCACCGGTCTCCAAACAGCGATTCCCAAACCAAAGGCACCGTTCCCCCTTAACCACCGTCACTTCTTTCTCCCTTCAGGACCTCACCATGGACACAGACCTGACAGCAGCAAATGGCAAGAAAGTCAAAGCCCTTGAGATCTTCACTTACGCCCTGCAGTACTTTAAGGAGCAGGCTCTCAAGGTAAGATTTAAGGTTGGTGGCCGTCAGCCTTGTGTTAGGCCATCTGTGGGTTGCTGCACCTGCCAGGGATGTGGAGGTACAGCCTGCAGGGAGAGCATGTGGGCTCTGAGGTTAGAACAGTCGAGTGTGTTCTTTTTTTGTTGCTGCTTTAAAAACGTTTTTTTAAAAAAAGATTTATTATTTATTTTATTTATGAGTGCACTGTAGCTGTCTTCAGACACACCGGAAGAGGGCATCAGATCTCATTACAGATGGTTGCTGGGTTTTGAACCATGTGGTTGCTGGGAATTGAACTCAAGACCTCTAGAAGAGCAACCAGTGCTCTTAACCACTGAGCCATCTCTCCAGCCCCCGAATGTGTTCTTAGGCAACACAGGTGGAAAGGTGAAATGGTTCTGCATTTTGGAACAAATTTGGCAGTTCCTAAAAAATCTAAACACAGAGACACGACCCAGCAATCCCACTGGCAGGGAAATGAAAACACATACACATAAAACCATTTACATTGAACATTGAGTGCAGTGTTATTTATAATAACTGAAAGGTGGGGACCACTCAAATGTCCATCAACTGATTGACAACTGAGTGTTATTCATCCATAAAAAGAAATGAAATATGGATGCACATTACCATCAGATAAACCTTGAGAATATCATATGGAATAAAAGAATCAATATATAAAAGCCTTGTCATATAATTCCCATTGTATGAAATGCTCGTAGCAGGCAAATCCAGAGTCAGCAGGATGTGGGGCTGACAGCAGTCCCTTTCCTTATAGGGTGTGGATGAAGTAATTGGTAAGAGCCAGGGGGCACCCTGCCTCCACACCACTGTGTGTGGGATGCAGGTACAGGCTCCTCTGGAGTTCCTGGTTAAAGACTGACTGCTTAAAAAAAAAAAAAAAAAAACAAAAAAAAAAAACAAAACAAAAAAAACCTGACTGCTCAGCAAAGCCGCAGGAGGTGTCCCAGGAACCAGCAGCATCTCTTCACCCCCTACACTTACTTATTCTTCTTGGCATTTAGGAGCTGAGTGACCAGGCAGGGTCGGACTTTGAGAACTCTGATGTCAGATGGGTCATTACAGTGCCTGCCATCTGGAAGCAACCAGCCAAGCAGTTCATGAGAGAGGCTGCCTACCAGGTGAGGGACATTGGGATGGTTGGGGAACAGAGGAAATGGAGCTGAGATTCCCACAACAGCAACTGTGACTGTGCGCAGATATCTCCCAGCATCTGCCAGCTTCCTAAGGAGTATGGGAAGAGACATGGGTGAAGGGTCTTCTTGTGCCTCAGTTTCCTGGGTCAGCCTAACAGACTGCTTTCTCTCCTCTCTCTCTCTCTCCCTCTTCCCCTCTCTTCCTCTCCCTCTTTTCCCTTCTCCAGTCCCTCCTTCTCCCCTCCCTCTCTCTCCCCATCCCTCACCTTCTCCCTCTCTCCCCCTCCCCCTCCCTCTCTGTCTTTCTCTCCCCTGTCCTCTTTCCCCATCTCCTCCTCCTCTTTGGATTCATATGTCCGGGTCATGGTTCCACTGTAAATTTTAGAGGTTGGATTTCAAGCTGGGGTTCAGAGACATTTCCTGTAGATGAAGGGCCATGAAAAACTTCAGGAAAAGCCTTGGAAACAAGAATATTTATATAAGAACAGAATAGAGGCAAGGATTCAGCTTGGCCAGGAGGATGAAAGTGGCCACCTGCCGCTGGGAACTGGACCGTTCTCTGCTTACTTGCCCATCAGGGCCATCTAGAAGCATGTGGGCTCTCAGAGAAGGGTGAGGGCTAATATACCGAGTGCTGTCAGGCTCCCATGTGAGGGCAGCACTGTGGCTCCATGGTGAACCTGTCACCCTCAGAGGCAAGACTCTCCCGAGGTTGGTGACCGGCCATCAAGAGTTCATCAATGCCTTAGACGTTCACAGCCCCTCTGATGACATTGATGGCCAGCTTGACAAGATTTGGAATCACCCAGGAGACAAACACTAAGCACGTCCATGAGGAACTTTCTAGCTATAATTGATGTGGGGCCATCCGTCTTACTGCAGGAGGCACCTCTCAAGGGCAGGAATCCTAGGCTGACTAAACTGGAGAAAGGGACCAACATTCATCTCCCTGCTTCCTGACAGTGCAGTGTGAGCCTCTGCCTCAGGTTCCCACCACCGTGGTGATGGTGACCAGACTGTACTCTCAAACCTGGGGCCAAAATAAACCCTGCCATCTTTGAAGTGCCTCTGTCAGGTGTTTTATGCTGGCTCTGAGAAAAGTAACAATACAGCCCTCTTCTGACACAGACAACTGTGCCCCGCAGGGCTGGCTTTGTGGATCCCGGATCAGTGCTCTGCCTTGAGAGTCGGGGTTTGGTCTTTAATCTCAGTCCCAGCCAGGACTAACACGTCATCAATGCCTTAGATGTCTGCTTGTCCTCTGTCCCCATAAGACCTCTCAAGAGACATCACGCTCGCCCTTCTCAGGAGGCACGGTTCTGACATCAAGTTAGTAGCCGTGTATATAAAGAGTCACTGAATCACCCCGATCCCCAGCAGATGGTAAAGTGGCTCCGTGAGTTTGAGCACCACAGGCTCTGTTCAGTACCCACGGCTTTCCCCAACGCAGCTCCCAGAGCTCAGCTTGTTCAAGGTCAAGGGCGGATTATCCTCCGCACACAGCCCTCTTTCTGGGACTGTTTCCGCTGCTCTCCCCCTCCTCTGTGTGGTGAGAATCTGGCTCTATGTACGAACCTGCCAAAAATAGACTTGCTCTTATAGGGCTGAAGTAAGAGGCAGGAAGTTGCAGAAAGAGGCAAACTTTTAAGAAGTGAAGGAGGGTTGTTAGATGCACCTTAGAAGATGAAGAAGCCCTGGGCATCAGCCTTCAGGGCGTGTCCAAAGATGGGCCCGTAGGACTTGACCATTTGTACATATGCACTGTGCTCCGAGCTCTTCCCAGGAAGGATATGCAAACTCCGTGGCCTCAGCCCTCACTCCCCAGCCCACAGGAAGGCTTCAGCAGCACATATGTGACCTGCATAGGGGTCAGGTCTTATTTTTAGATTGGAAAAAGAGGGAGGTGCATGTCTGGTCAGTTTGTTAGACTGGGCAGCCCTGGGCTGGCTCTTCCTATGATGGAGTCTCTGAGTGGGTAGGACAGGGGGTGGAGCCTCACCCTGAGGAGTCTCAGGAGAAAAATCAGACAGAGGAGGACACAGTATCCTTGGCTTTACAAAGAAGATGGCTTTACAAGCCAGGTGTGGCAGCTCATCCCTGTAATCTCAAGTACTTGGAAGACGGAGGCAGGAGGATTGGTTTGCTTGGAGTCATGCAGGACATTGAGACTGTCTTCCAGGACAGGTTAACCTTTCTTTGGTGGTATTTTTGCAGCTTAGGTAATGACTCTTTTAAGTTCTGCTTTGTTACGTCCATTCAGGTCACATGACCAGCTGGGTTTAAAGATGGCCACCTTGTTCATCTAGTCTTTGTTTTTTACTGGTTTCTTCATGAGGCCCTTACACTGGGGCCTCTGAGTACCAGACTCTGAAGGGCACTGGATAGAACAGCCCAGTTGAGTTAGAGTCCTCAGGTTGCTCATGGGGCCCAATGGCTCACAGTTAGGAACTTAGAAGATGCATGCAGGGCACAGTTGTTCTGCAGTGTCTTCTTCAGCTTATCTTGGGGAAGAGTTCCAGAAAGAATGGAGGTGCAGGACATAGCATCTCTCCACAGCACCCCTCTGCCTTTTAAAATACAGCATGAGGAAGGTCCAGTCCCAGGAAGGTTAATTTTGTGGGTCAGCTCAACTGGATCAGAGTTTGTCCAGATGTTTGGCTAAAAAAATGTTCTTGGTGTTCCTGTGAGGGTGTTATGAATGTCATCATTTAGCTGCCTAGAGTAAAGCAGGTGCCTCTGAAACATGAATGGGCCTGCTCTAGTCAACTGAAGGCTGAAGAGGGCAAAGAGCTGACTTTCTCTGAGAAGGAAGACATCCCTCCTGCTTGCGTTTCAGCTGGGACATGTTTTTTTTTTAAATTTTCTTCCCTGTGGATTCAGATGGAAACATCAACTCTTTTTGTTTGTTTGTTTGTTTGTTTTTTAAGGTTTTTCGAGACAGGGTTTCTCTGTGTAGCCCTGGCTGTCCTGGAACTCACTCTGTAGACCAGGCTGACCTCAAACTCAGAAATCCACCTGCCTCTGCCTCCTAAGTGCTGGGATTAAAGGCGTGTACCACCACCGCCCAGCTAACATCAACTCTTCTTGATGCTTTGAGCCTGTATCCTTCAAACAGGAGTTACCCAGTTAGATCTCCTGGGTCTCGGGACTCATCTGGCTTTGTAACCCTTGTAAGAAATCTCTTGCTGTGTGTGCTGAGTACCCTGCTTGTATTGTTTCCCTGGAGAAACCTGGTTAATGTAGTTCACGAGCAAAACCAGAGTTCTGAGCCCAGTGACTTCTGGGAAGGCTCACAGGGTATTGATCCCCATGAAAGGTCTTTAATCAGATGGGCATTTGCTTCCTCCTACATGGTGGTAGCTGGCTGCCCACCCTCCCACAGGAGTGACCTGAAAATGAAGCAGAACTAGTGTATCCACAGAACGGTAGGGAAGCTCGGAGGCCATTTTGCTCACATGGGAAACATGGAAGCCCTCCTTCGAGCTTTTAGGAGAGATTCTCAGTACAAGTTTATGATATATTCATCTGCCAGAGGGAGGGAAGGAGGCTCAGGGAGAGAAGAGCCAGGATGATCTCAGCATAGCATCCTCTAGTCTGGACCAGATCCAGGGCCTGTTTGAGTCGGCACCCATGAAGGTTACCGAGTTGTGCACACAGATCTCCTTCATCCGGAGACCCTCCCTGGGTCTGCTGGTCTCAGTCCTTAGGATTTGCATACTCAGGACAGCTATGGATGCTTGAAGAGCAGAAAGGACACGAGATTGTTTTTCTGAGGCCTTCACGAAAGATCTAGAAGGAAGGGGGAGGGAGATGGGGGAGAGAAAGGCTGAATCTCAGAGGATCACGGACAGGAAATTGTCCAGTTTTATTTTAGAGACGTTTTGCATAAAATGTGTAACTCTGGTGAGTTCCAGAAGCCTGTTAAATAAATGATGCCCCTGTGTACAGTGGCCTCATTTGACATGGAGACATGGCTTGTAACTTCCTGCTCAAACAGGCTGAAGTGAATAATAATCCTATCAGGAGAAACCTAAGTGCATGCATGACTCCCAGCTGGGGCATCTGGGACTCAACAGCAGCCCAGTAGAACACATAGCTGGTCTGGCCATCTTTCTTATCTGAGAATGAAGTCTCTTGGCAGGTTTTCCTAGCAGATTGCAAGGACCGTGGAGCTGAGTATTAGGGTAAACAGCCACTTCTGTGGGCTCCCTGGAGAGCGGTTCAGTCGCCCACAACTCCTGAGTGTATCTCACAATTCCAGAAGGGCTCTAAAATTTAGCTCCCACCGGGCAGTTTTAGATCTTGGAGGAGTAAGTGGGGTAGCATGCTGCAGGCTTGCACACATTTCAGGACGCCCAGGGCCCTCCTACAGAATGCTCATGTTCAGCTCAACAGAGACCAGGGCCGGGAGAACGCAGAAGAAGGCAGCTGGCTGGAGGAGGGGCTGAATCACTCCTTCAGCAGCTGCTAACTGAGACCTGCTACATAGTGGGAAGACCTCCCTGTTGTCCTTAGGGAGTGCGGAGCCCAATGTAGAGGCTCAATGTGCCTGTGCCAACTCTACATAGTCAGGGCATATTGAAATGCTTGACAGCAGTGCTGGTGTCATTGGTGGTTAGGGTACGGACTGGTTTCCACGATCTGGTGTCTCATGCAAAAAAGAAAGGCAGAGTCACAAAGCAGCCAGAAAGCCTTACTAAAAACCAAACATTTAAAAAGAGTATACTCTTTTTAAGATTGGCAGTGGTATGCCCAAATGAAGACACATTTGATGACTAGGAGGTAGTTTTCATGGTTCTCTATTATACCAACAGATGAAGCCTTATGCATGTTTCTCTACTGTGCACGTCCCTTCCCATAATGGATTTGGTTTTTAAAATCATACACACAACCCAATTAGGCATAGGTGTAAGATGGTAAATACAGGAACGTCTCTGAATGTTCACTTTTGAGGACATAGTTAGCCTCACTGTGCACATACCCCA